GCCATAAAATATAATATCGAGGAAAACAGATAAAAAACCTTTTCTCATGAAGCTTACAGATAGCTGGGAAAATACAAAAGCAACAGCTATGATTTTTCATAAATTCTATCAATTAAAAAAATAGGGTATTAAGATAGAGACTATCAGGGATGCAGATACTACTATAAACAATGTGATCGGGGAAGTCCTCTGTGCCACAGGGACATCTAAGGTGAGGCCAGAGGGATAAAAAGAGCCACTTAGGGGGGGATCAGTGAGGAAGGCTTTACCTGCTTGAGTCGCTGGTTGAATCCCCATGTGACTGGAGCACAGGGAGGGGATGTGGCAGAGGCTACAGTTGAAGCAGCTGGCAGGACCCTCCCCCACAAATGCACGCCCTCCTCCAAAGACAGAGGGGAGAAACGAAGCTGCATTTAGAGACAATGATATGAACTATCTTTTGCTCTTTTATTTGATAACTCTATATTCATTCAAACTGAACCATTTTATATGTCCACTCACTCATTTTGCAAATGTTTCTAGAGCAAAAACTAGCTGCCAATAGAGTTCATGTAAGTGCTGAGCACAGAATGGTAAACCTAATCAGACACAAGCCTTACCCTTGTGGGCTTATAGTCTTTTGGGGGTGTGGAAGTAGTTAAATAATCACACAAAAGCTTCATCTAACTGATCAAAGGTATAAAAATAAAAAAAGAGAAAGTAATGATTGTATTTTAAGAAATATCTCTGAGAAAGTGGGTTATATTCTAAGCTCTGATGGTAGAATGAGTTTAGGTTGAGAAAAAAAAAAATGTTTGGTGTGGTGGTCATAACAACTTGGAAGATCCTGAGGAGGAGAAAACATGGAATTTGGGAAAAAAATAAAACAAACTAATTAACTGAAAGGGCAAAGGTCAAGGTGGTATAATTGAGTTAAGTATTTAAAGAACAAGATCTGATTTGTTTTTTAAAAGATCACTCCAACATCAATGTGGAGGGTAATGAAAGCCTCCAGTGAGCATGGAGGATGAGCAATAAATTGGCAGACAATTAAAACAGTTTGGGCAAGACATATTGAGGGTCTGAACAGAGAGAATGACAGTATGGTGAGGAGAGGGCTGATTCAGAATTAAGTACCGGGTGGAATCCACGGGATCCATTTCATCACTTAGATATAAGCACTGGGTGAGAGGCAGGACCGAAAGACAGGCTGAGCTGCCTTTTGCTATAACAAGATTTCAATGTTGTTGGGGCAGCATATTTAATCTACAAGGGTATGTCTTTTTGCATGTGCGATTTTGGACTGATTGTTCAAAGCCTTTTAAAGTTCATTTTCTATGATTTTATTTTATTTATTTAATTTTAAAGACAGGGTCTTCTCTGTCACTCAGGTTAGAGTGCAGTGATCATAGCTCACTGTAACCGTGAACTCTTGGGCTCATATTTTCTATGATTTAATGATTCGAAACATGAAACTTTGTTTTTTACCGGGCAGATTAAGTGCACCAAATATTCTGAGATTTGTACCCTGGAATACATTCCTCACTGTGGATCTGATGGAAAAGAATATCCCAATCAATGTGCATTTTGCAATGCTGTTGTGTAAGTGCTGAATTTAATATATGATTTGTAGAAATAGCCTCTTCCAGAAAAAGCCAGGAACCATATTAGCTACCTAATTGGCTAAATGCTACTATGAACCATAAGAGTGAGATGGTTCATTGATAATCAGAATATTAAAAAAAAAAAAGAAGCAATGAATGAATGAGAAGAAAAGGAACGAGACAAAAAGGGGAAAGAATAGATAGAAGCAATAAATGAATGCTAAGAAAGTGAGAACATTGATCAGGGTCATAATGTTACTAAGTGGCAACTAAAAGAGAAATTTGCAGATTCTTTGGCTCTTAACACCAGTTTTTACTATCACATTGAAGTTCTCTTTTCTCCCTTTTTTAAGCTTAGTGATTACTTGCTCACCTTTATTGCTGTGTACTCACCTGGCTAATTGATCTAAGGATATGAAACTTTTCATTTAAGGTCTCCAAAAGCTTTCTTTTAACAAATAACTTTTTTTGCAGAAAGTGTGGTGGCAGACTTACTTTGAGAAATTATGGAAAATGCTGAGTCTCCCCAATGCTGAAGGGCAAAAAATCCCCCTCTGGCAGATTCCACTGAGAGTACCAGTTTCTCCAGGATGGCTGAAAGGGCAAGCGGTGATTTGGTGCAAATGTGGATTTCATTCTTCAATAAAAAATTCTCTGCAGGAAACCTACTATCAGGCTTCACTGTGTGGATGCGATTCTTCTTTTAAGGAAAATATTTATGTTCATTTCCCTAAGCTACAAGTCACATGGAAAGATTTCCTCCATTTTTATTCAAGTTGGGAGCTGGAGATTATATGTTATATATATACCAGTGAGAGGAGAATCTGCTCATGTCACCCCATTTTATAAAGACTTGAATGTTTTAAGTAAACATGAGTCAAAGGATGCATCTGCCCATCAGTGTCACATTATCTTTTGTACATAGATGGAAAGTGGAAAGTTTAGATTTAGAGAATGAATGAGAATCTAAGATACTGTAAACTAATCAGAACAGAGCAGGAGTAATGTATACTATAGGTATCCTTTTTTAAAAAGGACTCAGCCATATAGGGCCTCATGCAAAGGAAAGCATCATGTTGGGAGGAGAGATGAAATACAAGATGACATGAGGAAATGTTGAAGCCACTGAAAAGGCCTCAGGAAAATTCAAGGGAGCTGAGAAAGGTGAGGGTATATGATGAATTTTTATGAGATAGGGACTCTGGAATTCTCCCAATTTTCTCACGTCTGAGGCTCCATGGAGAACACTCTGAGCATTAATACAACATGCAGAGAGAGAGAGATTTCACCTTGATAAAGAGCAGAAATTCCTAATAGTCAATCTACAAATAGGAAGAAAGTTATGCCTTACATATTCATGTCGTGAGCACAGTGGTTTTTAAACAGATTGGTTAAATAATTGCTAGCTATGCTGTAGGGACTTGTGTGTTGTTTTCTAGCAACATATATAGAAAAGCCACTAGGGGTCAGGCAATGTGTTGTGTGGGGAGAAGCAATAGGAATGGGCAAAAAGAAGAATCCGAGCCATGGAAGAATTTTTAGACTACTGAGAGAGACACACTTTAAAGAGTTGATTCCTATATGATGTAACAAGGACAATAATGTGGTATTATTAAAGATTCTATCAAGACAGAAAGGAAAATACGGGGTAACAATCACATAATGTTATCAGTCTACTTGGGCTTCCATAATGAAATAGCACAGATTGAGTGGCTTAAACAACATGAATTTATTGTCTTACAATTCTAGAGGTTAGAAAGTCCAAATCAAAGTGCTGGCTAATTTAGTTCCTGGTGGAGGCTCTCTCCCTGGCTTTCAGATGGCTGCCTTCTCACGGTGTCCTCTCCTGGTGGGCGTGGGGAGGTAGAGGAAAAGTTGTCTTTCTCTACAGATGTGAATGTGGCCCCCCAAAGACAGCTCTGCAGTGTTAGTTCTATCTGGAGACCCATGGCAGTTCTATCTGTGAGACCCATCTCAAAACAGGTCAAAGAAATGTATTTTCCTTGAAAGTCATAGACTTCGGATTCTCTGAGGGAGATGTGATCCTTTAACCTTTTCCTTCTCACCCAATACTAGTTCAACTGAAATTTGGGGAGTTTGGAAAAGCTAAAAATAATTTAGCCTTACTTTTTTCCTATGGTGTTTACTTTTTCCTCTCTGTGCTTTAGGATTAACCCTTTGCACTCGCTTGCTTTCTTCTCGTTATCCACTCGACATTATCCACACTCAACATCCGAGTGAGTGCAAAGAGTTAAATCATACTGTCAATGGGAAATACCCCAAACTCTGTAAAATAATTTAAAGAGGTTCATTCTGAACCAAATATGTGACACTTTGAGCCAGAGAGCCACACCCAAGAAGCCTTGAACGCGTGGCCTCACCATGGTTGGAATACAGTTAAGTTTTATATATATTTAGGGACATAGGAATTACATGTAAAGTCATAAATTATTATATGGCAGGCAAAAGTTAGCTTGGCCCCAAAAGGCAGGATGTCTGGAAGTAGGGTACTATAGGTTACAGGGTTTAAAGCAGGTGTTCTTATCCTATGGCCCCAGGCCACATGTGGGTGTTTTTGCCCGTGTGTTTTTTTACTTTGCTCAGTGTGTTTAGGAATTTGTTCATACTTTTTTTTAAACTATAGTCCGGCCCTCCAATGGTCTGAAGGACAGTGAACTGGCCCCCTGTTTAAAAAGTTTGAGGACCCCTGGTTTAAAAGTTCTTTAATTTGTAATTGGTTGAAGAAATGAGGCTTTGTTTAAAGGTTTGTAATGTTTAAAGTTAAGATAAAGAAGTCTGTTGATCAGAGACAAACCACCAGACATATAACCAGACTTGAGTGATCTATTAAGGAAATAGATGATCTGAAGGTGTGGGCTAAGCTTTGTCTTGCATAGCCTTAGGTCTGCTAATGAGTTACAAAGGATGTCTCCAAGAAGGAAAAGGACATTATGAAGCATGGTGACCTGCCTTCTCACGGCCAGCAGCTCAGCTTTGGGGTATCTCTGGGGTCCTCTTTGCCCAGAGAGGGCATATATTCAGTCAGTGGGGTGCTTAAAATTTTATTTTAGTAAATGTTCATAGAACTCTCTGTTATCTTACTTTTGTATCTATTAAATAGAACCATGTGGTGATAATATGCAGTCCCCTTTTCTTAGAATAATTTGCTTCACTTTTATGTAGTTAATATTTTGCATATATAGAATGTATTGCTTAAGTAAGTTATCTCATCTAAAGTAGAAGGTAATTTAATACTTGTTATTATTTTTGAATGTAATTAAATGAGTCTGATCATACAATATCCAGGTCTATCGTAGTGGCTATGCTGGGCTCGTTGGCTCACACCTGTAATCCTAGCACTCTGGGAGGCTGAGGCGGGCAGATTGATCAAGGCAGGATTTCGAAACCAATAGTAGTTGCTCATAAGAAACAAAATAAAATAGCATTTATCGTAACTTTATCCGGGTCAGGCAATTTTCCAAGCCGTTTAAATGTTTGCTCAACTGAACTTCCAAAGAGCACTTTATGGAAGGTGTGATTACCTCCAAATGCAAATGGAAAAATTCTGTGGCTCAAAGACAAGAAAGTCCTTCCCAAGTTGACAAGATATTATAGCCAGCTCTTCTGTTTCTGCAATCAAAATCCTTCTAAACAATGGAGTGACTCTACCTTTCTGAACTGGGAGCAAATTATTTCATCAGGAAGATAACAGAATGTTTTCAAAATATTCCACGTTAGATTGTAAATATGGAGCCCCAAATTGGATGAAAACCACATCTTTCATATTCTAGGTGACCGAGGTACTTTCTAGAATTTTGCAGTAGGTATATTTATAGGCATTTATTGAGATGAAATAATACGAGATAAATTAACTGAGGAAAATAAAAATATTTTCATTCCAGCACTGTTAATGTCCATAACAATTTGATACAACCTTACTTGAGCAACAAATAAAGATCATTAGTATAATGAATAGCCATATATTTGATGGAATACAGCATCGGGTATCTAACTTCATGTTCCATATAATTATCTTTAGAGATCAAGAAAATGTAGTGATACATATACAAGTGAAAATACCAGGAAACAACATATACTATAAAACTGATTAAATGTTGATTGAATATTATAATAAAAACATGTACATATGTAACTGTGCATATATGTTTTTAAAAACCAGAAGAACATATTTTAATGTATGTTTAATAATCATCTCTGAGTTGTGAGATTTTATACCTTTTAATCTCCTTTCATATATTTGTATTTTCCCATTTATCTATGTGAAAATGTATTTCCTTTATATAAGAAAAAGTATACTTTCCAGAAAGGAAGGTAGAGGCAAGAAGTTCAGATAACTGGAGAGAGCTGATATGACAACGCATTTTCTCTGCTAAAACTGAAAAGGCTCTGATTGTACAGGGCCGACGCTGTACCCACTGCAAATGGCTTCCACTTATTTCAGCATTCACTGCAACCTCCTGTTCCAATCTTCTCTTCTTAGGCATTTCCACACAATTTTTATTCTGGCCCAAAGTACTATTTATCATTGTGGAACATGCTGTGCTTTTTCTGCTGTACTCTCTCCCACTGTGGTATGTTTCCTTGGGCCTCTCTTGAATGTTCCATTCCTTATCCTCCTCACATCTTCCCCTGCTGAGATTTGACCTTGATTCAACCTGAATGATGAGCCCCCAGGACTGGCCCAGCCCAGCACACAATGCCTCAGTGCCTTCTATCTCCTGCACAGCTACTCTAGCCCCTCCCGAGGCCCCAACACATGCTCCTTAAATAGAGGATGTGCATTCCTCTTCCTTTTCTCTTCTTTCTAAGGTGTGTTGCTCGTGGCATGGAGGATGGGGAGAAGGTGCTTCCTCATTGTGCTTTAGACTTCTGGCTGCAGCTGGATCTTCTACTGTTCCTGCCCCATTCCTGGGGGAATCTATGGAAGATGTCAAGATGAGATGAGGGTGTGCTTAGCAAAAACATGTTGTCCCTTAGTGTCTCAAGAATAGGCACAGGAGGCAGCTCTGCACGTTGTAGCAAGAACTTCTCATCATCCTGGGAGTGGGGTACTCTTGAGACATTTTAATGTCTTGAGTGACACATGTCACACTATAGCATATCAGAAAAGAGCTTATTTAAATTAGTTGGGGACATGTGCTGCAGAGCATAGATAAAGGCCTAGATGACATGGGGAGGACTAGGTTACTTTTGCAGGGGTAATACAGAGTTAAATGTGGTCCTTGGTCAGGCTCTGGAACCTGCAGATACCATTCTACAAGGGAAGTGGATCCAAAGGGAGAATTTGCCCATTGACTTTCCATTCTGTGTGTGGATTAAAATAGCTTGGGGGCCCCCATGACATGGCACAGAATGATTTTTCTCCCTATGCACTCTGTCAGAATGCCCCAAGAGAGTCTAGCATGCAAAGTCTAAAGACACTTAGCACAGCCAGGAATGCCGGAAATATTTTTAATCCAAAGAGGTTTTGTCTGTTTCATAGGTAAATACAGACCTGCTTCCTCTATTGAGAAGCTCTTGTTTTCTAGAAATCTCTAGTAGCTCCCTCTTCTTCTTTGTATCCTCTCAAAAAATTTACGTTAAGTCAGGTGAGGAGATGCCTTTTCAAGATGTCTAAAAGAACTCCACGCTAACATAATAAGTGATGCCTATAGTCTAATTTACTTATTAGACTGATTTACTTCTGTCTTCTGAGTATTCACAGATCTGTCACTGAGCTCTATACTTTTAATCTTTTACTCTTTAATATGATTCAACAAGGTTTAACCTTTCCTGACCATTTGTTCTTGTGGAAGGGTGGAATGAGCTTTCCTAATGTGGTGTATAGAGAATACAATGAACAAACAGGAGATAACTACTCATTTTAAGAGTTGTCTTAAATCTTGATTACCACTATTTTGGTTATTGTTTTAGAAGGCAACACCCTGAAACCAGATCTCAGAGCATCATTCCAAGGACAGACCAGGAGGGAAAATGGCCAAATCTTTCCTACTATCCTGCTCAATTTTGTTCATCTTTATACATATGGTATTATCTTTTGGTGAGTAATTTGGCTCATCCTAGCCAGCATGTGAGATTGATTTGGGGGCTTTGAATTTGTAATCTGAAAGAGAATGCTTTGGAATTATTTTTAAATTTTAGTGGATCATTTATATAAAAATATGTATCTACATATAAATGTATCCACATTTATATAAAAATATATATCTACATATATAGTTAGAGACAAAAGGGGATGTGGTCCAAATATACATATATATCTCTCTCTGTGTGTATATAGATACATATACATCTGTGTATATATTTAGAGGTACAACAAGGTGTGGTCCAAAAGAGTCTGGTTCAGTGTGTGGGCAGGGGTCTTAGTTTTGCCATGTATTACATGCAGGTTGAGACAGAATTTATGGGGGCAAGGAAGTTTGGATGATTCAGTGAGTGTGCAGCATGTTAGAGTGTCGAGCAATATGCCTGTACCAGAGCACATCTTGCAAATTTAGACTGTTTGAAAAGGCTTTGCCATGTGTTTGAGTGGATCATTACCTTTTTGTCCTCTTCTAGAGAAGAAGTCATGAAAGGAGTCATAAAGATACTCAGTCTCAAGGACTTGAGACCTTAGTTTTTCACATATCTATCATGAATTCCTGAATGTCACCCAAGCATCTATTGCTTCTCTGAAAAATATGGGGATTGGATCAAAAGATCACTTTAAAGTTCTAGCATTTCCTGTTTCTTTCTTAAATTAGCTATGAACTCTGAATCCTTTCAAGTCCAAACTAATTATTGTTAATTGAAACAAATTATTTGTTTCACTGAATTGGCAACCTTTTGAGAGCAGCGGTGCATCTAAATAGTCCTCTGCTGGTTATTTATGAAGAATAGAAGAATTATTTCACTTTTTTCTTTGTTTTTGTTTGTTTTTTTTTTTTTTTGGCTTGAAACCAATAGTAGTTGCTCATAAGAAACAAAATAAAATAGCATTTATCGTAACTTTATCCGGGTCAGGCAATTTTCCAAGCCGTTTAAATGTTTGCTCAACTGAACTTCCAAAGAGCACTTTATGGAAGGTGTGATTACCTCCAAATGCAAATGGAAAAATTCTGTGGCCCAAAGACAAGAAAGTCCTTCCCAAGTTGACAAGATATTATAGCCAGCTCTTCTGTTTCTGCATTCAAAATCCTTCTAAACAATGGAGTGACTCTGCCTTTCTGAACTGGGAGCAAATTATTTCATCTGGAAGATAACAGGGTGTCTTCAAAATATTCCACATTAGATTGTAAATATGGAGCCCCAAATTGGATGAAAACCACATCTTTCATATTCTAGGTGACTGAGGTACTTTTAGAATTTTGCAGTAGGTATATTTATAGGCATTTATTGAGATGAAATAATACGAGATAAATTAACTGAGGAAAATAAAAATATTTTCATTCCAACATTGTTAGTGTCAATAACAATTTGATAGTACCCTACTTGAGCAACAAATAAAGTGTGTTAGTATAATCAATAGCCATATAGTTGATGAAATACAGCATCAGGCATCTAAATTCACGTTCTATATAATTATCTTTAGAGATTAAGAAAATTTAGTAGCACATATACTAGTGAAAAAAGCAGGAAACCATATATACTATAAAAAGTGATTGAATATTATAATAATAAAAACATGTATATTTTGTGTCTATGTGTGATTAAATGTATATATTTTTAAACATCAGAAGAACATACTTTAATACACGTTTAATAATTATCTCTGAGTTGTGAGGTTTTATACTTTTTAATCTCCTTTCATATATTTCTCTTTTCCAATTTTTCTAAGTGAAAATATATTTCCTTTATATAAGAAAAAGTATTCTTTCCAGAAAGGAAGGTAGAGGCAAACATTTCAGATAACAGGAGAGAGCAGCTATGATAACGCGTCTTCCCTGCTAAAACTGAAAAGGCTCTGATTGCTACAGGGCCGACGCTGGACCCACTGCAAACTGCATCCACTTATTTCAGCCTTCACTGCAACCTTCTGTTCCAATCTTCTCTTCTTGGCATTTCTACACATTATTAATGCTGGCCCAAAGTACTAATTATCATTGTGGAACATGTTATACTTTTCCTGCTGTACTCTCTCCCACTGTGGTATGTGGGCCTCTCTTGAATGTTCCATTACTTATCACCTTGCATCTTCCCCTGTTGAGATTTGACCTTGTTCAACCTGAATGATGAGCCTCCAGGACTGGCCCAGCCCAGCACACAATGCCTCAGTGCCTTCTATCTCCTGCACAGCTACTCTAGCCCCTCCCGAGGCCCCAAAACATGCTCCTTAAATAGAGGATGTGCATTCCTCTTCCTTTTCTCTTCTTTC